CAGCCATCGCTACAACGATCGGCAGGGGAACAGGTGTGTTGTATCAATGCTACCATCTATTCTCGGGGAAAGATATGATCAGGATACGGCGTCCGCATTTTAAGTGGGATCCACGAGTAATTAAAACGTTGGTAGATGTAGCCTGGCCGGCGACTTTGCAATTCGTTATTCAATCCGGTAGCTGGATCATCGTCGGGCGCCTGGTGGCTGAAACAGGAAGTACAGAAGCAGTGGCAGGTTACCAGGTGGCTATGCGGAATATCGTGTTCTTTATATTACCTGCCTGGGGACTCAGCAATGCCGCTGCTGCGCTTGTGGGTCAGAACCTGGGAGCCGGTGAACCAGGCCGCGCCGAAAAAAGCGCAATGCTCACCATGAAATACAATGCTATGTTCATGGCTGCAGTGATGCTCATTTTCCTGTTTCTTGCTACACCGATCATGAACATATTCACTAAAGAACCTGCTGTACATGAATACGGAGTACTTGCATTACAGATAATCGGTGCCGGCTATATATTTTATGGTATTGGAATGGTGATGATACAATCACTTAACGGCGCCGGCGATACAAAAGCTCCTACCTGGATCAACTTTGCAGGCTTCTGGCTTTTTCAAATTCCGCTGGCCTATACATTGGCAAAAGGTTTTAACCTCGGGCCCGTAGGTGCATTCATCGCGATACCTGTTGCTGAAACAGCAATCGCAATAGCCGCGTACATTATTTTTAGAAAAGGTCGATGGAAGACAATAAAAGTATAAGAAGTATTTATTCAGCTAACATTGATCCGTATTTAATTAAAAGGTATCGCACTCGTGATACCTTTTAGTTTTATATAAAATGAAACTCTTATAAGTAGTAGATTTTCCTGTGTATTATTTTTTAGTATCAACGTATATGTTCGTTTATGCATAATAAACAACGTTTTATTGCTTGTATTTGGAAAAGTTGCACACTATTTTTACCCCGTGCCTCGTTTGTAACACTGAATCCGTAACCCTTGAAAAAAACGCTTGTATATATTACTTCTTCGTGCAT